TGGCGGATCCGATCATTTATACTATCGTCACCTCACCGTGATTGCCAGAATTATTTATACATGGTGACACATCGATGACTCGTAAACCGCGTGTAATCTGACGCACACGTTGGGTTACATTTTTGTGAATGAATATCATCGACCAAGATCGTTCTTTGTACGTTCAATTATAGTATAGATCCTACTGTTTACTTCTTTCGACGATGGTAACGTGAACGAAATAAACATGAATTCAGTAAAATAGGTACGAAAGGCAGGGGGGATTTACATCAGAGATTTTTCGTTACCGATAAATTCATAGCTTAAGTATACAGTGACTCACACCCATTGGTTCACATATGCATCTAAAATAAAAATTATATAGGTGTCAAGACTTTCGTGCAATTTCTATTTATATATTCTTTTTATCGTCACTTTTATAATCCTCTTGTGATAAATTTTACTAATTTCGGCAACTTAGAAGCGACAGCGTTTTTCTGAACAAACCTGTGATTCGTTGTAAGTTATTCTCGGACATTTTTCTATCATAGTCACTTGTGAAGAGTTCGTTCCTCTCGACGATCTCGTTACATGATCTCCTCTTAATAAAAGTCGAACGGCTGGGAAGATGTGCCCACGACACCTAACACGTAACCTTATACATATTTTATTAATTCTCTTCTCCGCGGCGTACGTAAATCGTATCGCGTAGGCGCATCTTATCGAGACCGTCGTCGTGCAGAGTCGGTGAACACGAGACGAACCGTAAAACGTGTAATCAGTTTTACCATGCCCGCACGCCGCGTAATCACGCTTCTAATAGACATCCTAGATTCAAACGGCGATTAATCGATCAACAGAGCAGGGGAGTAACGACGCGTGTTTTATATCGAGATAATGGACGACAGGCTAATGACGGGCTCATTAACGAGACTCTCGATATAAAATCGTTCCGTTTAGCATCAGATATTCCGCGGGGCAGGAAGTAGGTCGGTAATACGCTCGAGGTATCTTCTTCGTACATCTCTCATTGCGGGGAGTGTGAGAGAGAGACTGGACAACAGCCGATGTCTGGTTAGCTTTTCTATTTACGAGCTTTTATCCGGCTGAAAGCGAGTCGTTAACCCTTGAACCACGACCGATCGAATAATCGCGTTTATCTCGCGATAATAGAATATCTTTTAACTTTTGATTCGTTAACACGATCCTCTAGATTTTACATTCTAGATTCTAGAGTCTAGAAAGATTTTACAATTTTGTTCTTGGTGTCTATATCGTGCGAATTCGATTACAATTGTTTCTCATCATTTTTATTAGTATCTTCGTAGAATAAGGGCTGAAAATATCGAAAATATCGTATATTTATTTATGATTTTATAGCTGATTTTCTGGTATTTCATTTTCGTTAGAGGGAATCATTGAGATGTTGCGCTATTGGTTGTTATTATTTTTCATACGTATATACATACCCAAGTACTAGATGACTAGTTATGACGAGTGCCAGAGTTCGCAACGAACAGATTCACCCGGGAAATGACTTCATCTTAATAAATTACGGCTTCGAGTAAACCTTGCAAACGGCTTCAAAAAGGTTCTGAGAAGGGCCGCGTGTATCACGCTATTTTTAGAGAATAATTCCTCTTCGTCTCACGCTCGCCTTTGAAGGCTCGGAGATCGTCCTACAAACCACCGTCCACCGACTTCTGTTTCGTCTGGTTTTCGTGCAGTGAACGATGCTGTCGGAATTTTGCAATTCGTAAAAAATTAATTTACCGGTAAAACGTTCGTTTCATTAATTATTTTATTAATCACATGACCGAAGTGTAGAAACGATCTATCTACTGTGGTTTGTCCCGTTGGATCGTTAAAAAACGATGCATCTTCAGACGATCTACAGACAACTTAATCGCATATGATTAGTTGGTCACGAGTCTTCTTCATCTTTCCTTTTATCATCTATAGACTGCGGACGTTTATACATGTATAAACATTCCTTAACTTGGAAACTGCAATGAAACGAAGATTTCAATAAAGTTCAATAGTTCTTATGTGTTATTACTAATTTAGCGAAGCCTCTAGAACAAAAATCAAGATTCTGTTCCATTTCAATTCTTAAATATTCGTATGTAAAACTTCCAATTTGCATAAACTTGCGCAGTTTTATTCCGATCTCAATTATTTTCTCAATTTTAATATCACATGAGCATACATTCAATGTTAAAAATGTTATTCCCCAATCAATCCCTAACGTCACACGAAAGAAGAATATTAGAAGCTCCTCTCGGAAATCTTTCTTTCTGAGATTCCTTTCGCATATAAACCTCAATGGAGTAAAAGAATGTCTCACTAAAAAATCCTACCAGATTTATCCTAAACCCCGTACGAACCCGCGATAGGGAAAATCGCTGCCTCCACTTTTACCCTCTTCAAACCGAACCAGTTAATACGATCTAACGAACCGAAACAATAAAGATCTCTCGCCTGGCATCGCGTAACTCACGATTAAAAATATTGTCGATGCTCCTCCGTCTGATTCTAATTGCTTATTCCGCGTCGAACGACTTACCTGTCCCTTAAATCTTCCTCTGTGCCCCGGTATTAGCCCGTCGGGAGAGAGTGGGGGGTATGGGACAGGACGGGGACAGTGAAAATTGCAATTATTCCCCGGCGCGTTTATTTTAAATGTCTCCATTTATTTAGACTCACTACACACAGTACTAAGTCCCGTTCACGCACACACACATATACACACGCACGTCGCACGCACACACACACACACACACACGCACACGTCTTACCTTTCACGCGTCTATCACCTCGTAAACCACTAAAGCGGCGTACGCGATACGGATTTACATCTTATACGCGCGGGTCGTAAAGCTCACTAATTAAACTGATGATCAGGTATATTGCAGTGTCCCATCTATCGTTTATAATTCTTCGCGATTTTATTCTAATCGTGTCTGACGACTCCAACTCTCGTTTATACGTGAATATCATCGAGGAAGGGGAAGGGCGAGTGGATAGTTAAGGGGGGGGGGGGAGGGGGCAGGGGGTGACGTATATACAGCTTATGTACAGGGCCGAGGCTCGCGTCGAGAGGCCTCTTTTATAATTTATAATGCGCTATAATATTTACTTAATAACTTATTACCGATGCTTTCTCTCCGGATCATTTGGCTTTCTTCACCATCCTCATCTCCTCTCTCTTTCTCTCTCTCTCACGCTCTCTCGTTCTTCGCAATAAATACAGTATGATACAGGTTTGCCCGCCGGTGCTCGCGGTTCTCGTGGATTTTGCTGAAAAAACACAATATTCAGAGCGCCTCCCTGTTTTCTTTTTTTTTTTTTTTTAAATGTTCATACACGGAAAAACATACTGTTACTATATGTGAAACTTCATTAGAGATACATCAATGTCGAAGAGTTTACACCTGTGTGTATAAATATTTCATACCCAGTTTAGAAATTTAGAGGTTGGCGACAAAATTTTACTGTTTTCTATTTTCTTGTTTTTCGTTCAGGTGGGCAGGATTTTTATTTCATAAAATAATAAACGGATTCTACGTGAAACGTTCGCGTGCGCCACACGCGAATCGGATGGTCTCTTTGCGACCGACAGCCGGGTATTTATAAATTATGTTAGCTTCACAAGCAATGAACCGGTTATTTTATACTTTTCCACGATACACAGTTTTCTTTTCGTTGTTTCTTTTCATTCGTCCCAAGTGAAACGAACCATTCGTACGGACTAATAATTCATACGCTCTTTCTTGTACTTTGAAACGGAACGAAGTTTCGCTCCTGCATAAGTTATATCACGTGGTAACCCGCCTGGCTCTATCGCGGCCCAGTGGTGGTCGTTAGAGCTACCTGTCTCGCCCCACTTGACGACGTTACAGTTATATTTCGTCCAACCCGCGCACGAGAGCTCTATCGTTGACCACTGTGTGTGTCTGTGTGTGTGTGTATGGACGTCGTCGCATGTTTCACCAGGCCTGCTATCATTGCAATTTTATTACAAATGTATTATAACATTAATCAACGAAGTCCCTCGCTGACAGAGACTCCTGATTTCTGGTGACGATAATCATAAAATTACCGTAAGTCCTCGCAAACGAACAATTTCTGCTACTCAAAGGAGATATTTATAAACACAGGTGTACGTTTCCAAACTGATACCTTGTACGGGTACTCTTAAATATAATTCCAACGATGCGATGTTCTCCACGTGTTCCACGCCGCGCAAACGTGAATTCTATCTACTTCGTTAATGCCTCTCGTAAATACGTAAAACGTTCCTCTCACACGTCGTTCGACACCCCGCCACAATCCGGGGTGGTGAACGATTCTTCGAGAATGCTCCGCAGTAGCGTCACCTCCGTCGAGACGCGTCGAAATTAAAACGATCGTACAATATTGAAAATATCAATCTGTCGCGAAACACGGATTCATCGAGAGTCAGCCGGGGGAACTCTAAATATTTGGCAGTCTTTCATTTACAAAACCTTTACAATACCCGTGAACAGCCACCGTTGAATTCCTCGTCAGACTCGTGTATGCAGACTCTCAGTCTTTGTACCTCCTCTGGAGAAACGCGAAAATTCCCAGCCAAATTCGAACCTGTCCCGGTTTCTTCGAAATGCATCCTCGAAAAGGATGCTATCTTTGTAACTATTCCTTTGTCAGGGCGCGAGTCATCCAGAAGATACGTTTCTGCAACGAATGATCTCGACCACCACGATTTCAACCCCCCGCGTGTTCTTCCACGTTCTCGATTTATAAAGTGTACTACGGAACAAGGAAACTACGTATGCTTATCGTCCAGCTGATCGACGTTAAAAAGGATCTGCCACTTGGTCATGGTTGACGTCGCTACCCGAAGTAGAATCGTGTCAACGAAACACATCGAATCGACAGGTTCGATCAATTATTCGAGATCTCCAGCTCCCGTCAAGAGTCTCGAACTCGAGAGAAAATCAATTTCTTCGTCGACGAAGACCGCCAACATGGCGCGGTTCCTACGATTTCTCGTCCATCGAGTTCGGTAGCGGTCGCTTCTTCAGGATCCCAAGGTCCTGTACGTTCTCCAGGAAGGTTTTATGGTGTTGCGCGACCAACAACGGGTTCACCGTTTGCACGTCCTTCTTCAGCTCCTCCATGTCCCTCTTCAGCTTCGCCCGACGGTTCTGGAACCACGTGATCACCTGGGCATTGCTCAGGCCCAGCTGAGCGGCGATCTCGTCCCTGTCCGCCGGGCTCAAGTACTTCTGATATAGGAACCGTTTCTCCAGCTCGAAGATCTGCTGGTTTGTGAATGCTGTTCGGCTCTTGCGCTTCTTTTTCGGTTGTTGACGGTTGTTGAACAGGTTTAGGTGATTGGCTTGCTCTGGAACAGTAACGGGAAAAACCGGGGGATTAGTGCGTGCGTGAAACGATGATCGCGAAGGAATGTATAAACGCTAGAGGGTGGGCGTTTGAGCGATGCTGAAGGTTGATGTTCGATGATTGGATGATCTTTGGAAATCGATAAATGATCTTCGACAGATCTGGAGATCTTTCGGATGTTTTCAAATTTTCGATACTCTTGATGATAGTTCTCGGTTACATTTTAATTTAGGAACCCTCTTTCTTACTCTTGAATAATCATTCAAAAAGACATACTTTTTTAGATGACTTAATACGAACAACTCCTAACTTAATTACGGTTTGTTCTTAATAAAAATTTGCGCTACAAGAACACTGTTTTAGCACCGCTTGTACGTCTAAAACTCGGATTAAAACCTTTTGTACAAAACTTACTTCTCCTGAAGGTTCAAAGTTAGTTCCTCCTAGCTTACAGATATAACGAGAAATTTATAAAAGTTTACCGAATAATGAAAATACCTTGGCAGACCCTGAAGAACTCCGGAACAACAAAATAGAATGGCTTCGAATAAAATAATGGCGACGGTAATGTAATTTCTGACTTATACAGCAGCGTAACTGTTCCGTTCAGATTTTTCGAATTCTTTTCTACAAGCTCAGGACTCTCGAAGATCTCAGGAACTTCCATAAATACAGCTTGGTGCTGGAGGTTCCCTACTAATATCGAAATTTCTTAATCTCCGAACGAGAGGATAGAAGAGAAATGCAAAACGAATCGGACATCCTCGGGCGTCTTTGAATACCGAGGCTCTAGACGGTCTCCTCTACACACCGGGCCAGCTTCGAGCCACAAATCAGATGCATTTTCGAGCCACGGAAGGGGATCTCTCTCCATAAAAATCGTATTACCTATTCGTTACGGTGTTCAGTCTATGGAATTCCAGGACAGCTTCTTGCCGTAGGGATGCCAATACTCCAGTTGTTTTGTATGTTTCGCGGGCAATTAGGGTTTCGTGTTGCCCGGATAATTAAGAATGAACAATCCAGACGTTCAACGACCTCAACTACGACGAGTTTTCTACCATCTAATTAATGTCGCGTGCACATAGATATTATTCTAACAAGAACCAAATGAAATCGTTTTGAGGAAATAATGAAAGGGATAGATTATATTCCCTAGAAAAAAAAGTGGATCGTTTTTATTTTAATCACAATACGTAAAGATTGAAAACTGTAGGGTAGTTTTATAGTTACGCCAGGCAGTGTATTATGATAATTGAATTCAGAGTATATCCAGGACTGTTAGTTCTAGCGTTAAGTAAAGCGATTCAAATAGTCCATTGTCATATCCATTTAACAAAATCCAATTGGACGGCATCGTGTTGAGGAGAAATAGCGTCCCGGAAAAACGGAGGCGGAATTCGCGCGATGGCGTTGGGCCATTAGGAAATAATCGAAACGAATGACGAAAAAGAGAGGCGGTCGATGAGTCGTGGACAAGGTAGCCGGTGAGAGTCCCTCTCCAAGGATCAAAGAACGCCGCCATCGGTCACACCTGCGCAACCCGGGAGTGTACAGTCCCACCTGAAAGCAACCTCGACGACGCGACGGAGCAGCGATCGGCCTTGCTCCTCTCCGGTGTCTACAGGCTGCTGCGCGGCACACACCTTTTTTCTCGCGTTTCGATCAGTCCGAACGTTCTACCGCCGGGTCGAGGAACGTGTTCCCGTCGCTAATTTAGAAATAAAGTATTTATACACGAACGAATCGAGTTTCCGCGGCCTCGATCTCATCTCTGTTCACGGAACCTTTAAACCAGCCCAACGTGTTCGCTCAACGGCAACCCCCCCCCGCCCCCCCCCCCTCTATCTATTTAATTTTCTACAATAAAATTTCGCGGATAATGAATTGGTAATAATTTAAAGGTGAAACGAAGGGGTCCACAGGCCCCGAGTCCCCGGGGGCCACTTAATTCCATGTAAATTAGCCTGCCGAATGGAAAGCAACCACGATAAATCGTCCGGCTATTTCCGCGGTCGAAAAAGACAAGCTGCTCCAATCCCTCTCTCCTTCCCCCCGATCGAGATAGAAGAGGATCGTGGGGAAGTGGTTTAATTAAATCTGCCAGGAGAATAATCCTGTGGAACCCGGAACGATTCGATTCAGAGACACCTAGAAACGATCATGGCACCTGGTGTACACAATTCTGCTCCAATAACGAACAGCGACTACGTCCACGGAAATGGGAAACCCTTTAATTGCAAATTACTACGACGATGAGCTCCCCAGCCGCTGATCCAGTCTAATGGATCTCCTAACGTTCGCGGATTCGCCGGTATTCAACCGAAACTTTCGCCGGCAGTATCGACACCTATCAAATCGGATAATGTCTATTACAGTCTATTACGACGTTGATGATTGCTTTTGTAACGGTTCTCGATGGCGGAGAGAACCTCGAAGAGCCAAGCAAGAGATTTCACGGCTGAAGCTTGCACCTCTCGTTCAGTTTTTCACGGTTTTCGCGGGACCAACATGTTCGTGGCTTTCTAAACCGAAAACGACTTAATTACCAACCGAAACGAGACGGAATTTAATGTCATATATATTTTGCTCGTTTAAGGAATTGTCCAATTGTACGCGATTTACACGCCAGCCTGGCGCCACATAAAAACTTTGTAGGAACCATCGGTTTAGAACGGTTTGTGCATTAACCATGTCTCTCTTTACCTCTTTATTTCCATAGTCGAAACAAACGTCAACGAATCCGTCGTAAAATCGTATCCACTATCTATTCTCTAGACGCGCGTTAATCCAACTAAGCGATTATCTAGCAGTGATGCTTCTGTAATACTATTACATTTTATGAAACATTCGAATACACCATGCAGTAAGTGTGAATGTGTCTACTGAATTAAGATATATAGCAACACTATACATTCAAGGGTTAACACATCGTGGATCAAAATAACCTTATCACCAACCTCGCGATTATATATAAATTATTATCCAAGCAGATCGCTACCTTAAAACGCATAACAAACGTGAATTTCCACTTCGGGTCTGTAACGTTTCCAGAAGCAAAGATGTCAATTCCCATTTCCGGTAACACGTTAACACTCTATCGTTTCACGGTAACAAGCGAAAAACCTTAGCATAACAAGGGGGGCAAGGGGTTGCCTCGACCGATCGAAACGGTTTTTATTCCTCCTTAAATCGTCATTTCCTTCCAGTGACAGGCCGTTCGTTCCACGGTTTGCGCATTCTTTCGGTGAATCTAATTCGGTGTACGAGAAAAGTGGGTAACAATTTTGTCGTCGGCCGTCCATTTTGCCGGCCAGAAATACGGTGGCGAGCGTGGTCGAGGAAGGAGAGAAAGAGTAAAATGCGGAGGCTCGCCGAGATATTAGTTTCTGCGGTCGACTCTCCGCGGAGATTTAATTCGTTTGATGTTCACGAATTCGCCGCTTCGGCTGTCCTTTCGCAACCCTTTCCGCTCCCCTCCGCCCCACTCCCCTTTCTTCTCCCTTCGCCAGCAGCCTGGTACAGTCGTCGATCTCCGAGTCGCGGATTTTCTCACCTTTCTTTGTGATTATACAGGCCCTCTCTCGCATTTAGCCCACGATCCACTCTTCTCGCCTCTCCTTCATCTCCTCTTTCCACGTCGCGGTGCGCACGGTTCCCCCGCTCCAAGTTTTCAGCCGGCGGAGCGAATGCAAAAGCTGCTTAATGACTCGACGAGTCGCTCTGGGGGATTCTGTACACGGTGCGCCGTTTAGGAGAGCTTCACTTTCTGGGTGTTCGGTGGTTACCGACCCGTCGAATTCCACGGAAATATTCGTTCATCGAATCGCCGAGTCGTACGGCGAAAGAATAGCTAGTTTGATGTTATAGCTGAGATACCGGTGGTTCGCGTGTTCCCAGGCAACGATGACGCGCCGACTTTCAGTCCGATGACAGAAGCAATTCTAGGCAAAAGTGGCCGATGAACTTTTCATTGTAGCTAGCTATTTCGACTTCTGGAATTCGTTTGCACGTGCAATTTATCGAGTTTACAGAAACAAGACGAAAAATGAACCTACAATATGAGTAACATGACACAACATCGTGATCTATGTAGATCATAGGTTCCTAATGTGGGCGTTGAAGTCTCAGGAGGCCGAATTAGATATATATTACTTTCTGTATTTTCACTCCAACCTTTTAATATTCGAAGATTACACGCACATTTGGAAATTTTGTCGGACAGAAAGAACTTTGAAAAGGGACCGGTTAGTCAAGAAAGATTGGGAAACTATGATCCAGGTGAACAATTACCAGACTTCACATTCTTTATGCCAATAGGGGTCTCGCGAAGGTGAAAAAAAGGCGTAAAGAAGCGAAAGGTGAAATTCCAAGTGAACCACTCGCGCCTAGAGACCTCCTCTCCTCCAGCCAGTATAAATAGCGAACAGGCACGCCAATTGACGTGCGAAAACCGCGGCACCACCGAGTGCCAACGCAGCCGTCGGTGGTGACTTCCGCTTAATGGACGCCAGTACCTCTGCGGATTAACGCGTTAAAAAGTGATTTACGGTCGATGGCTTGGTAAACGGGGGACTCGAGGGGAGGAGAAGGGGCGAATGACGACGCTGCTTTTAATACATATTCGCCGGTCGTAATCAGGCGGGAGGTTGCCGTTGCTCGCGCGTTGAGCTTAACGAAGTTAATGAACCACGACCGTTTCGCAACTTTGAATCAGCTGCCATTGCACAACCAGCGAGGTACTTGGGCCAGATCATTTTTATGGGAAAGTTATCGATCCTCGTGAAACGAGAGACTCGATCGGCGAAGGAGAGTACATTTCGAGCGGATCAACGAGACGGACGACGAGGATAATCGTAACGAACAGACAGGGGGCCTTATAACGAACCACCGCGAGATGTTTCGGCAGAGTCACCGTGCGTTAATCGAATACGGCCCTCGTGGGCCGTCTTCGGGTCCAGGTTGACCGATGTCAAAAGGCACGGTTCGGTTCTCTTGGCT